TATGATTATTAACTCATTACATATCAATCCATTTCCACATGACAAACACCGACAACACGAAGCAGAGAAAAAGAAGAAAAAAAGATAAAATAAAAAGAGGAAGAAGGAAAAAAAATAAAAATTCTCCAACGTTGTCAGAATATAAAAAATAAATAAATAAATAAAAATCACCAAAGTTGTTAGAATATAAATGCTTTCGACTATTAAGTTTGAATTCTTCAATTTCAAAGGTAAATAAAAAATTACTTGTTGAAAAGTTATATTAAATTTTAGAATTGTCAAATTGTTTGTTTAAACTCAATTTTATCAAAGGAAAATTAATGAATTAAGTATAATAAGCAACGTAATTAAGTTAAATGAAAGAAAAATTAACTTAAGTGATTAAAGGAATTTTAGAAATTGCTTAAATATGAAAAGATGAAGTTTTGGTATCGTCTATATAATTATCTGCATTTCTTAAAATAGTTAATTGTTAATCTAAATATTATATCATATTTAGAGCAGCGATATTAATATCAAGACAACCTACCAACCTAATTGATATTGCATACATAATTAAGTGAGTGGAAAAAAACTTAAATATTTTCAAATCTTGATAAATTAATTATATTATTACATTATGTACAATTATGTATTCGATTATATGATTATTATGAAAAATTCTTTTACAATGATAAGTGTAGAATTTCAAAGGTTTTATATTGTACATTTGTGATTTGGAATGTGAGAGATATGTGATGCTGAGATTGACCAGAAAAATATCCATGATTATGTATTTTTGGGGTCTTAACCATGTTCTATACTACAGTGGGGATTTTGATGGGGATGAATGGGTCTTGATCGTGTACATATAATTAACTGAGGGGTCTTGATCATGTTCTAGAATTGATTATGAGATGTCCTTGAGATCTGCTTCCGTTCATTAAAGAGGCCTGTGTCGGGAGTGATTAGTTTGAGTAGTCATACGCGTATGATTAGATTACAGATTTCAATCAGAGGGTATATTTTTTGTCGATTTTCGAGTACATTAGATTTGATGAGACGATTGCATTGATTTCAGTTGATGATTATATCATGATGATGAGATGATATTCTTAATTATTATAAGGTGTCTTCGACACATCTTGATTATTATTATTATTATACGCTGTTATACCTTGAATTGTTAAATGATGTAAATTCGAATTTCGATAAAAATGTATAAATGGAAAAGTGTAAATGTTTTTTAACTTCTCAACTTACTGAATTATCAATTCAAATATTTTCCCGCAATTTTCTTACTAGGTAGTAGTTGAGTTTTTAGGCATCTTTTGAAGTTGAGCATTTGATTTTGGAGTCAAAACCATACAACAAAGTTTGTCAGTATGACTCATTTTTAGTCAGTGTTTTGGGACACATGTTCATTTTTGGATATGATTTTGCATAATTTGTAGATAGTTATGTGGCTCATTATGTATTTTGTATCCATATATACATTCCATGTTATTTTCATAGTAAAAGTTGAAATTTTGGTTTATCTATATTGTGTTGTGTTATTTTTGAGATTTGTGCATAGTAAATTACATGTCAATTAGTTTTACTTACAGGGGAGATAAGTTGAAATTTTGTTAAAATAATTTATAAAAAGGTGCATATTGTAATAGCCTTGATGGTGGGTCCAATTTGGGTTGGTATCTATGATCATCGCATGTTGGAGTGGGGTGTGTCAAGTGATATAATTGACAATTTTAATCTCAGTGGCTACACCATCCACAAAATTTAAAGAGACTAAAGGAGTATGAGTCATATATTCTGTGGATGTCTATATCCAACCTACTCAAAGAACAATCTATTTGACCGAATCAGTGATGCGTGTAAGGACATGAATGTAGGACAAAAACAGATGGGG